AACATACATTTTGAGTATGGAGGATGTTATTATAAGGAAAGAGAGGAGTTTAAATGGATATCAAGAAGCTCCATCTATGCTATATCATTTAAAACCTCTTTGGATGAGGTAACATATCCGATGGTTGTAGATGGTATATGCAAGAAGATTGGGGTAAACGATAGTAAGAAGAAGCTCAAGTTAAGCTACATTCCGTTGGTAGCTAAGCCACTCAATGAGTCATGTATTGTTGATGATTGTGATGTGTATGTCTATCTAACAATTGTGGATAAAGAGGGACTTAGATCTGTATTGCATGTGGAGATAATGGAAGATTTGGAAAGAGATAAGATTCAAGAGTAATGGAATATTTTCATTATCTTGGATTTCTTGCAATATTATGTATTTTGGAGTAATTTGTAACCTAAAAATTAGGTGCAACCTAAAAATTTACGTCCAAACCCAGGCAAACTACGAACAACTAGGACAACTATTTGCAACTAGGACAAAAGAAGGCACACTAGTATAAAGTGGACAATTGGTACAATTGGGACAACTGTGAGAAACTAGGACAACAAGAACAACTACGACAACTATGACAATTTGGACAACTAGGACAACTAGGACAACTATGATAACCAGGACAAACTAATTTCTTTAAATTACTAAACATTAAACAAATACAGCCCTAAACCCTTAAATACTGTATACTCAACGACTACCACTAAACACTAAAATAAACCCATTATTTTCTGAAAATAAGATATACCATTTGTGTTTCTAATAAAATAACCCTTATGGTATAAGGCATTCTTTGACAATGGTTTCCATCTTATAAGAGGTTAAACGTAAAAATATGGGAAATACAAAAGTATGGGCGCGAAACCCTTGGGGCAAGTATAAAATGTTCAAGGGTTAAGGGGACAACTAAAAAAAGAATGTTCTTCTTAAAGGACAACTGAAAAAACTTAAAAATCGTCCAAAGGACAACTATGACAATTTTGGGACAACCGGACAACTAGGTACAACTATGATGTCAACAGAAAATGCACGTGTGAGAATGGCGGCTGAGGATAATATTATAAGTTATTTTCCTCTGTATTTGTCTTTTTTGGTTGTCGTTTACCGTTTTCTCTTTCATAGAAAAGGGTCAAAGGGTTCTTCTCCTCTTATTCTTTTTCCTAATTGTTGCCCCCAAATAGGTTTTTTAGGGTTTCCACCGCATAATGGATAAATATCAGATAGCCCTCGCGAAATTGGCTGAAAAGAAGAATGATGGCTCTTCTTCTGTCTTGCCTAAGAAGGATTACGGGATGACCACTAGATGGGGACCCAAAGTCAATGGAGTCAAGACCATTCTGCCATGCCCTGTACAAAAGGGAATTCCAAAGGTTTGTTATTGCGGCTTAGCTCCAATTGGGTGTTTAACTGACAACTCCGGGCTTGACAGGGGCCGGAAATATTACGGTTACTTCTACGGCTGTTGTGGCCCAAAAAATTTCCCAGAAGTAAGTCAATTGGGTTTTCAATTTTGATTTATAATTTGAGTCTCATCTGAATTTCTGAGTTTTGGGATTTCAGGTTCCCAGTTGTGGCTTCAAGAAATGGTGGGATCTCGCAATACTCGAAGAAATTGAAATGTTGAATGATACTCAAGAAGCCATGCGGGCTTTGTTTGACACCGTTTTCTCCAAGTTAAATCAGTTAGAGTCAAAGGTGGCATCCATTGAAGAAGCTATAAAAAAGCGTTAAGGATGAAGAAGATGAGCTTTTCAGTTTCTTATTGACCTTTTTTCCCCTTGTTATGTTGCTACTCTCCTTTGATTTATTTTGAACTATTTCTCCTAAATAAAACAACGCAGTTGTACCAGTTGTCCTAATATATCGTATTAAGTTATACGAGTTGTCCTAAATAAAACAAGGAAGTTGTACGAGTTGTCCTAAATAAAACAAGGAAATTGTACCAGTTGTCCTAAACCCTAAACAGAAAACATAAGATTGTACCACAAAGAAAAACACATAATCTTAAACATAAACAAGACATTTTACTTCTTGGCTTCATGTGGTTGGGCTCCTTGAACATGTGAAAAACCCTGGCTGTACTCGGTTGGACCGAAGTAAAGCTTCTCAAGCACCATCAGTTGACTACCATCATCGGCATCCTGAGATAAAAACAAGAAACACAATCATATGAGATTTAGTTGTCCCAGTTATCCCAGTTGTCCCAGTTGTCCAAATGCCAAACGTAATTTTGTGCAAATAGTTGTCCTAGTTGTCCCAGTTGTCCGTACCGGCTGGTTTTGCTTCCTTCAATGGTTCTTCTTCACCCCGAATTTCTTCGTGGGTTGTTTCTTCATCATTCGCCAGAGGGTTTGGTGTTATTCCGGGTTCTTTATCTTTCATATCTGCTTCTTCGCTGCGCTTGGGTACAGATTCGTTCGAATCATATACCACGCCCTTAAGTCGAATTTTAGCTATCTAGTTAGGCTGGATTTAGGGTTTGTCTTGATGAAGTTAGAAGGCTAAATTATGTAATATATAGTACGGGAATTGAAGAAAGGGAAGTTGAAGAAGAAGCAGTTACAAAATCAAGTGTCGTTTCAAGTTAAAGGGGAAATTGCAGAATTTTCGAAAGAAAGAAGGAAGTGGAGATAGCCGTTCGGGGAAGATGAAGAGAGAAAGAGGAGATCGTATTTGATTTTTGGTAAGTTTATCGAATGTGTTTGGTTTTGGAAATTAAATCCATTCGGTTCGGTTTTGTTTACCTAATTTTCGGTTTAATAATTTCAATTTTTTATTTCTGATTTCAAATTGATAAAGTTTTTTTTTTTTGACAGAAATTCCATTTTTTCTGGATATTCGAATCGGACATAAATCGGATGGGTTTTACCTTAATATTTTTATAATAAAAGAGACACATAGGGAGAAGAGTATAATTTACCTAGTTTTTGTTAATAAAATTAATTCATAAAAAAATTAATTTTTAAAGATATGGTTTATCAGCCAACTTTTTGGTTTCAGCCGCGCGCTCAAAACAAAAGCGAGTAACCTTTTGATTTCCCCTCCCCTCTCTTCTCTTACCCTTCGCTCGCTATCCACCAGCACCGTCGCTTGCTCCGGTCCCGCCGCTGCTTCCGGCGGCTACGAATACCATCCATCTCTACGATATACCTTCCGCCTCTAACCTCGACCACAACCACACCGCTTCGATCACTGCCCTCTCCGTATTCAATCCGAGGATGCTAAGCTCCTTCTCGAGCTCGACAATACTAGCCACAAGCGTATACTCTGTGCTACTCCTGGAGAGGTCAGGTTTTCTCTTACTTGTCTCTCTAAATAAACTTGTATTTTCATTTGTGTTAACTTGTGCTCAATTTCTCTATTACCGTCCTGGATCCCTAAGAATTTGTACATGTGTAAAGTAAGTAACTTTGAGTTTCCTACTAGAAAAATCTCCTCACCAAACATCTTGTTGGGTTTTTGGTTACTTTTTAATGTTACATCAAGATGGTTTTAGAGCTGTGTTTTCTCTTCTTGTTTCTTTTCATGCTTACTCCTATGTTGCCAAAGTGTGAATTGCAAGAAAGCCCACCTTCTTGAAGCTATGAAAAGAGACTAATTTAAGACTTTCATAAAAGTACTCAGTCATAGACTGTGATATGTTTGCGCAATCTGTTTAAGAGTGGAACTCTTGATTTGTTTTAGTTTATGCTTCTGTAATTTTAAAATTTAGGAAGAGCTTCACCTTTCTGAAGTCTAAAAAAACGATTTCTTTGGCTGAACAGAGTTCTTCCGGTTCCTTGTTGATCTTGTGTTAACGTTCTATTCCTGGAAATGGTGATGGTTTTGATTCAGAGAAATATTTTATTCCTTGGCTGTTTGCTTAGTTTGCAAACAGAGTGGAACTCTGTATACAACAGATGGTGAGGATCGGGCCATAACAGCTTGGGACACATATAGCGGGAAGCTTGCTTATTCCATACAAGACGATCCATAATTGTATCAGAAGATCCATACTTGGTTGCCTCTGCATCTTCTGATGGTGTCATACGTGTTTGGGACATGCGAATGGCTGCTAAAGAGAATGCAAAACCATTAGCCGAGACAAATACCAAATCGAGGCTTACATGTCTTGCCGGGTCAGCTCTGAAATGTGAGTTTATTCTTTTTCAGAATACGCGTTTCTTATAAAACATACAAAAAAAGTCTCCTACAAGTTGTGACATATTCTTCATCTTTCTCTTCTTTCTTATTCAGCTATGAGACGGCCACAGATTGGAAATAAAGCTCAGAAGCTAGAAGAAGAGCCCAACTCAGGATGAGAGTTGTTTATTGACTAGTAAACGTTATTGTCCTGATCCAGGTTTTGGTAGTATTCTTAAAAATATGATCTAGTAAGGTTCTTGTCGAATTACAGTTATAAAAAATTGTGTTAAACCGTCGTATTTGTGAAAGAAACGCAATCTACTATTATCATTTACATGAGTTCTTTGTTTATCTTACTCCTAACGGCTTCAGTAATCACTAATTTGGTCAAAACTTCATTGAAATATTGTATAGTAAATCTGATTCAATTATTCAAGGTTTCCAATAAATGAAAAAGAGCATCACGCCATATGTATTGATGAAAGACTTGAAAATTGTAATCACCAAGGATGGAGAAATGCCATGGAAACAACATTTTGGCTCTCAATACTGAGTAGTGTTGTTTGGGATTTTGCCTTGTTTCAACTGAGAAAGAGCATATTCACCAGTACGGATGAGATCGGCAACGTTGTGTTTCGAGATCTCCTCGGAGCCAAACAAGAAGATGGTCTTAACCTCAGCTTTCTTTGCGAGTCTTGAAGCGTAGCTAAGCTGCAGCTTTGGTGAGTTAAGGCTCCTCAGTAATTGACGGTACAAGGAAAGAACTTTTCCTCTGTTCTTTGCAGCTTCTTGTGCTGTTAACCATATCAAGCTCGTCATGACGAAAATGGAACACGAGAAGAGAATGTCCCTGTAACCAAAAAAAAAAAAAAAAGGGGAAATGTTTCACTGGGTAATTTCGTCGAGCAACTGATGCGCAAATAACAAAAACACCAAACGAATACTAACTTAATAGTGATGATACATTGCTAAAAGAAAAGGAATTAAAGGAAATGCTTGAAATTTATCACACCTTCAGATCGGAAATTTCAGTTGTGGGGAAGTCAAATCCGATATATATCCAATCCACCAGCGGCAAACAAAATAATGAAGAGAAAACAAAAATTTCCCTTTTGCCTATTTGTCACGACAAAAAAAAACAATGCTTGAATTTGTCCAAACCGAACCAAAAGTAAGCCCGACCCAAACCAGATTTTGGTTTTATAAAACACTTTCGTCCTGAATCCTAGGGTTATTTATAGGAGTTTATTATTGCTGCTCTCTAACTCGAATTCGCGGCAAAAATATAACTCGTCGCTGTTTTCATCATCCTCTCCATGTCCGAAGCTAATCTATCGCGTAAGCGAAATAAGCCGGAAGATGAGTTGGAGACTAAACCGAGTCTGAAGAAAAAAAATCAGAGGAGAAGGAGACAACTAAAGGAAGTGTCGAGTTGTTGGAGACAAAGTCTGATCAGGCTAATTTATTTGGCAAGCGAAAGCTGGGAGATGATTTGGGGACCAAACCGGCTCTGAGGGAACATAAGGATAATTCAGAGGAGAAGGAGACAACGAAAGGATTTGGTGATACTCTCCAGGAAATCAAAGGAAGGGTCGAGTTTTTGGAGACAAAGTCTGATCAGACTAATTTATGTCTGATCAGAAATTTACATATTCTACTGTTTGTTTGTTAGATATTTTGGACAAGTTTATGTTCAGTTTAAGCATCTTGTTCTTATCATCTCTCCGATTTTGTTGAGGTACCTCTTCTTCTTATTATCTTCATAACATGTCAAGGCTCTAGCGTTTAATAACACAACTGTTGCCACTAAGTCGAAAGATGACCTTACAGATGACTTATATCAACTGTTGCTACTTTTTGCTGTTATGTTAATTCCTCCCTCCTTAAAACGTGCTAACACACTTGGCTATTAAATTCAGGAATCTGTCTTACCAAAAAAGACTCTCCTTGTTAAGAATCTCGTTCACTACACTTTAATATCAGATATGTAAGTAGCATCTTAAATTTCCACTTCCGTTCTCGGAGCAAAAGCTTTTCATGGCTCATGTTTTATCCTTCCATTTTGACAGCATCGATTTCTTCAAAGATGTTGGGCAAGTTGTTCGTGTTCGACTTGTTGTAGACCCCAAGAAGCTCAGGAGTAATTAAGTTTAAGTTGGGCTATGGCTTTGTTGAGTTTGCTTCTGCTAACGAAGCAAAGAAGGTGAGAGTAGTTTATAGTAATGATCAAAAAAGTATTTATCAGAAAAGTAGTGTATACTTGTGATGAACAATATACAAGTAGTTATCTGAAAGTAGGATTGTTGATTAAACCTTTCATACTGTAGGCGCTGCAAGAGAAGAACGGTGAATACTTGCACGAGCGTAGGATTCTTCTTACTGATGTGGCTGATAAGGGAGCTACATCACCCAAGTAAATTTATTCATGCTACGGAGATTTGTTTGTGTAACTTATCGCTAGAGTTTTGATTCCATTACAGACGATTAACACATTGATTTTTGTTATTTAGGTATTGCATAGATCACAAGGTTTGTTCAACTATTTGCATCTTGAGTTTGTTATCAAAGGCACATTGTGTGATGTTTTTGGTATACATGGAGAGATGACACGGCTTTTTGAGACCAAACCGGATTTGAAGCTTTGGTAAGGAACTTAAACTGTTTGCCTTTTGACTGTTTTGTTATCAAGAGCACATTGGGTGATGTTTTTGGTATATTCCAGGTACGAAGACAAACAATCTCTCCTTGATTTGGAGATTGAGACCAAACGGGATCTGAGGAAACGTACCTACGAACCGTTTCTGAAGAATCAGGAAGTAAAATCTCGTTGGTGCGGTAAGAAGACTGCTTTCACTGAGGACGACTGATCCGAGAAGATGAAGCTCTTTGGTGTTTTTAACTTGTGATACAATGCAAACTTAGGAATCGAAAACTTATTTTGGATAATCTGAACCCGATGAAACGTATGCAAAGCTTATAAAACTTTTTATTACCAATAACATAATTTTCTGTAATGTATGATATCTTGGGCGTGAACCATCACCTTGCTCAATGCAATGCTCTGGAAATGAAGCTCAAACAAATTGCAAAATTACAAACAAAATAGTCCTTTACACATAGAAATCAGCAAATATCATAATTGCATTTGAAACAAAAAGTCTTTATAAAATTTTCCCAGACATAGATATAGGTATTCTATAGAGATATATAGAGATAATGAAAATTATCCGAATTTGGTGGTCGTGGTGATGGAGCATTTTCGATTTTGTGGTTGAAGCTATGTACATGAACAATATACTTGATACGAAGGTTAGATCTGATGCATCAAAACTAATGACTGAATAATATTTTCTTTCTAAAAATAGACATTCTATACACAAAAGTTAGCAAATAGAAAATTTTCATTTAATAAGAGAAAATGACAAACGTTTGTGTATTTTGCTCATTCATATATAGATCTTCTATATGAAGAAAATATAGTATATAAATTTTCTTACACTTTACTCATCTATATTGAATTATCATATACACTTCTGCTAATTCCTCTTTTGCTCTCAACTCGAATTACCGGCAAAACCGCAAAATAACACTATAGTAGTGATGAAAAGTATATTTTAATCATTTGAAAATATACTAAGTAGTTATATGAAAGTAGGTTTGCTGAGTATATTTTTTTTATACTGTAGGCGCTGCGAGAGTAGAATAAGCGTTCGTTTATTCTTGAGGCGGCTGAGATAGCTCCATACCTTTTCCGACCCAAGTAAATTGATTTTCCATTATGGAGATTCGATTCTCTAACTTATTGCTATAGTTTTGATGTCATGACATAAGATTAACGCTATTATTTCTCTTTGATTAGATACATCCTTGCAGAGAAGCTTTGGTAAGGGACTTAACTGTTTGCCTTTTTTACATTTTTGTTATCAAGAGCACATTTGGTGATGTTTTTGGTATATTCCAGGTACGAAAACAACCTTCGAGACCAAACCGGATCTTAAGCTTTTGCAAGGGACTTAACTAGTTACATTTTGAGTTTTGTTATCAAGAGCACTCTGGGTGATGTCTTTGGTATATTCCAGTTACGAAGAAAACCTTCAGCTATTTGGCCTTGATTTGGAGAACCAAGAGGAAAAACCTCTTTGGTGCGGTAAGAAGAAAATCTTCTCTGACGATGATTGATAAGAGAAGATGAAGCTCTTTTGTGTGTTTTGAACTTGTGATACAAGCTCTTCTATCTCTGACTGTTCTATACTCTAGTCTTGTGTGAGAAGAACAAACTTTTGCTTCTACAAACGCCAGATATGGGATAGTAGTTTTTGTTTTAGTGGTTTTATAGTTTGATCCTGGTAATTTAGAAGCATATATATTATGAACTAATTAGTAACCATTTTCTATCAAACGAAATCCGAGAGTATTCATTACTACCATACGTTAAAAGTTGATTTTCTTATCTTGATTAGTATAGGTAAGGTATGTGTTTTAGCCTCTAAGTATAAGACTAGAGCATAAAATGGTATGTTGCGTTTTAGGTAACGAGATCTAACGTTTTCAAACTACAACATTGATAAGTCTTTGATATGGTATTAGTAATCTATCAGGAGAAGAAAAAGGTATGGGATATGTTTTTTAGTTGGTTTTCTTCTTCTCATATAAAACCAGCTAAAAAACATTACTATCAGTATTTAGTGGAAACAAAACAAAAAATTAAAATACTGATTAATTTATCACTAACACCTAAAAATGTTATCCGTCATCGTATGCCAGATACAATGGAAGTGATTGTATTTCTGTTATCTATACATATGCTTGCCCGTGGCCGAGATATATGAAATTTAAAAAAAAAAAAAATCTGTGAAAATGACATGATTAAATATTATTATTACACCTTTCCTTAGGAAACATCTGCAAATTCAAGAATTTAACAAGACTAGTTCCGGCTGAAGATTGGACAAAAGGAGATTGTATTAAAATGATACAGAAAAGAGCATTAAAATTGGACTTACAAAACCATCTTTTAGAGCCTTGACATCCGAATATTCGTCCGTATGTTCTTGTTCTTTATAAGTTACATACAAACTGCAGTTGCACACAAACATAGTCAGAATCTCCAACACAATGCTACACACTAAATATCCAAAGGGTTTTCTTATCTACCTCTAGGCAGAAGTATTTCTTAACACGGCTATATCAGTTTTTACCAGCAACACCAACCGATTCAATCTCAACAATACTTTTTTTTTGTCGTCTCAATTATTATCTATTTATTTTCCTTATAAATCGGGTCTACAACTCCTCCTCAAAAGACAATATGGGAGGAAAAATAAAACAACATAGACCTAACGATAGAGATAATAATAAAAAAAAAAGATGAGAAAATAATATGACTTGGGTGCAAAGCAAAAGGATTACGGTTTCTTGAGAGAAACTCATCCAAATGGTGGGATCAATGAGTGCATCATAAAAAATATATATGTATAGATAAAAATGAGTGCATCACCTTCTTCCAATATGCTGATCTCATCATTACTAATCTTGGTGTAATATATCATTCAGAATTCCAAATCATCACTATATTCTTTATAGGGAATGATTTTCCCGATGTTCACACCGTAGTGAGAGATCCGAGACGATATATGCATGGTTCTAGCATAGCACGTGGATGCGTGGTTTGTTGGTCCATATTTTCTTCTTCATCTTCTTCCTTTCTCATGATACCAGCCAAAACCAAGTAAGTCTGGAAGGATGGCGAATAATAATACAAAAAGTAAAGCCACTTTCGATATTAGCAACAATGGCGATGACATAAATTAAACGTCATACATTATTTTTCTCGAGTAG